TGGAACATTGCATTTCCATCAATAATATGAGCCACATGATCTGGCCTGCTTGTCACAGTATGTCCCTCTTCCAGTTTGCTCTCCAAGGCACTGGGCCAAGTGGGTATGCCATCACATTTTCCATGCATAGATCATGATTCATTGCAAGTAGTATGAGCTGCCCAAATACATTTCTCTCTGTTACCAGTTCCTTGTCTTCTTTGTTGAACTTGTTACAAACTGTTTCACGGCCATTGATGCAAACGACTTCAATTTCAGTCGATTGATTGGTGCATTAAAAGTGACTGTCTTCTGCACTAGTTCCTTTTCTATGAATCTCTTGTATGCGTTGGTGCCATGTATGTTAACTGCAAGTAAATCAATGGATATTTCGTATGAAACTGGTCTCCCTGATGATATGCAATACAGATTGTGCACATCAGGTATCATGAAGGAATTGATAAAGTTTTAGAAGGCAGTGATCTTCTTCTGCACTGCAGATTCCCCTTTTACAATCTCTGATGTGGTGACATCTTTGTGGTAGTTCATCTCATCATTTCCAATGCCAGCAAATTCTAGTGTTGCCTGTAGATAGTCTGCTTGTGCATGCCGAGTGAAACTCCTTCTATGATAGGCTGCCAATAGCAAGTTACGACTGAAGACAATGATTCCAGGACCATGCCAGCGGGCAGGGTTATAGGTCTATTTAATTGTTATATTAACAGCATTTCGAGAATTTGGAACACCAGATCGATTCACACTCAATCCATTATTCTCAAGAAGCTTCATAGCGCCAGGGTGTGTGTGTGTGAATGTTTAAGGAGTACATTCAAGTACAGTGATGTATAAATTGCATAGTTTGGTGACCAAAGAAGAGAGGGAACTATTCATGCAGACAGGCCATATAAAAGGTGATGTCATTGGCGTTCAGCCCTTAGGAAACTCATAAGGAAAACTCCATCTACCCTATCTATAACTGTGGTGTTTTGCCCTTTTCTCCAGCACGCAACTTGTCCTTGTACTCATCATACTTCTGTATTCATTTTTTCCATATTGGGTTTTCCACAAGTTCTCTAAGTTAGGCTTGTTTGCTAAGTTGGACATTAACTTCATATCTACTTCACCTACATCGTCATGAAATGAAGTCAACAACAGTCGACCTAGAGCGTCTAATGATGTTCTGATAACAAGCCTGGCCCTATAGTAATGTTTCGCATTCATGACTTTGTCTATCGACTCACTTGCACATACTGTGAATTCAACCACAACTTCCTCCAATCCACTGCCCTTCATATATTTCCCCAATGCACCTATATATGCACACGCCATGTGGAATGTCCCAAGTTAAATGATGACATTCTTGAATCGATCTGGATACGTCCATACAATTCCATATGCAGCAGCTACATCGAATGTAACAATCGTGTAGGGCTGACCAACAGCAGCAGATTCCTCCTGGGAAATCGTTAGCACATGCATCACAGTCATGTTTTCAGTGATCGAGGCATTTACTGGAGGCATGTATTCCACTATTGATTCTCATTCTTCCCTTCTCTCTCCAGTAAGAGAAATCCAACCTCATATCATGTCAGATACTTTGTCGTTTGAAACATATTCTCTTGTTTGTTGAGGTTCAGTAATCTGAACACTAAGGCTGTGTTTAACATGTTTTTTGACAAAAAATTGCTCTATTATTTTAACTTCATCTGTCACTGATTGCATCTTTGTCCTAGCCATGACAGGTAATTCATAATTGTCATCATTTGATTGGTCAATGACTGTCTCGTGAATCACCAGATGTTGTCTCTTCATTGACATCAAAATTGTCCCACCAGAAGTGCAGCACTTGTGTTTTGGAATGGACTATAATGTGGAATTGGACTATCACAGGATTTTATAACCATGTGGATAGCAGTCAGGATTTCTAGTATAACTGAATATGACACACAGTGCCCAAATCTGTTCACCAACTTCACAATGTCTGCTCTTCCTGTCAAATGCCATAATGACATTCCAAGGAGTATATGCTTAGGTGTCATCCATCTAAAATGTTGGAAAATTGATTCTGACTTCAACTTTCGAGCAAAAATTTTTTTTTTTCAAAATTTCTTTTGTTTACACAATGTCCCTTATCTTGAATGACCAAGGTCATGGTCATCAACTGGGTATCATCAAAATTATATACATAGACATTTATTTTGAGTTTGTATGTTGTTTACTTAGAGATATGTCATTTTCTTCATTTCCCTTATTTTATAAATATGTTGCTATGGCAACAGCCGTGGCTCTCACACTCACCACCGATTTTATGGTAAACAACCTAATTAAGATAGCTGAGGGTCCTGGCTAACTAAAAATTATGGTCAATGAAAATCCCTAAGGGAGGGGAGGGGGTCTACAGTAGCCCATAGACTAATATGTTTTGAACATGGTGATAATTTTTCTAATTATTACTGGTTATGTAATCAAACCTTTCAAGAGTTTATTTGATGCTATTGTTAGAAATGTATTTGATAGACCTTCAATAGCAGAATGGGATCTTCATTGTTTTCAAACACTCTGTAATCATGTGAGTACATTTATCTCGAGATCTTCATTGCACATCATCTTTATGGTTACAAAAGTTGCATACCCTTATCTTATGAATCTTTGGTATGACACTGAACAGCAGAAACCTGATGACATAAATGTTTTATATATATATAAATTGTTACAAATCAAAAATGTTTGCAGTAAACTGTGGGACAAACATAACTTTGCAACATTTCCTTTGCGTTTATGTTGCATGTTTTGTTTTGTAAATGACTGGTGGTATGAAAGAATCACATCTATTGTTTCAGATGCTTATGCTGTAGTGCATTCTCGCTGTTGCAATAATATATGAAAAATACTTACTGCATTGTGTGTGCAAGATTGTAATACTCTTTCAGTTTAAATTGTTAATTTACAACCATGTATCTATCAGGCTTGCAATGTACACATATTTTGAGGTTAAAGGGGAACCGCTCAATCCAATGGATTGCACCAAAGAATCATGGGACACTATTGTCTATGTTGTTTACAATGTTAATCTATCTTTTGTTATCCATTGTTATTTTAATCCAGAAAGTAAATTTGTTGTGAGATTAGGCTTAACTGGAAGGTGCCCCTTTAAAGGCCCAATTCACTTGCCCCTGGCAAGTGTGAATTGGAGGTGTGACTATGCTAATGAGTGTTGTTAATCACTTGCATAGCCTATGACGCATCCTGTTTCAGCAGTCCAACATCACGTGACTTTGATTGACAGTAGTTAATTATTCCAGATTAGTAGCGTGTCTCTTTCCTCGGTTCGAGTTTTTGACTTTTATCCGCCAAAATCTCAGCTCGTACACTATTTATTGTCATAAATACTACATACAGTCACTGCTGTGATATTCATAGTCACATGCATCCACTTTGGCACGACATAATCGACCTGTAAGTTCGAGAAAACGCGCTATTACCGGGGCTTGGCTGGAGCTGTTTACTACAGCGTGACAAGCAAGGAAATAATCCCTATTGTTTAGGACCATATTTATAGTATACCTGGGCCTTTAACGTTGTAGGAATGGCATTCATTTTCAGTTGCCATATGTGGCTGAAAGGATGCTTTTCTTTCCTTTCAAGTCATTATTGACTGTACCTGACCACAATTGCTACTGCTTCAACAGCTTATCTTATCACAAGCCATTATTTAATCTTTGTTTATCTCATTCACCTAAGCACACGGATTACACTGCCTTCACACATCTTGTTGTTTATTTCGTTATCATCAGTTAATATTAATTAAAACATCTTGCACACAGATTATTCTGCCACACAGGTCTGTTGTTATTATTTCATTAACACCCTACCCAGCAGTTTGTGTCACTATTGTCGTGCCATCTGACTTGTTATGATTTAATTATAATTATCTGTTCTGTTTATTTACTAACTGCTTATCTGCACACCTTCTCTCCCTAGGTACTCATCAGGGCATCAGTTTTAGATGTTTTGTTGATGTAAATAAACTTTGAATGCATTTATTCAAAAGCATTATAATACCACAAACAGGTCATTCACTGCAAGCTATACACCTGGATGCTCCATACTGCAAACAACTCCCCAAAATTAACTTACTGAACCAACCAACCAACCAACACACTGTTCTGTACTTATGCAGTAATGGGGGAATTCTACATTAAGAAATGATCACATTATAGAGTTCATAATAGAGGAAATGGCAAAATATAATTAACTGTACAAACTACAAAATGACGAGAGGCTATGCATGCCACTTTAAAATCCTTGTCCCTCGACCATTCAACATAAACTTGTACAATTTATAACACAAAATGCGAAGTACATATATTCATTCACAATTCTGTATTTCAATGCACACTGTTATAGTTTGGGTGTATTTTAAGGCTGAATTTTAGTTGTCTGTCAGAGAAATGAGAACTTTATGTTTGAGCTCTGGGTATATAAAAGGAAAGATGCCCGCCAGTTTTCAGTATGAAAATGACACTTGACAGTTAAACATTGTTTGAGGTGCTCCGCAAAATCACTCTTTTCGACAATCTTAACGCCTGTGGTGCGTTATATTCATGTCGCACACAAACATGAATATATACGCGATACAATTTCATGTTAATTTACAAGTTCGGAGCGATGTCAGTGTGATTTCTGCATCCGCCCTGCTTGAAACTCATGGCCGAAATATTCAGGCTGAAGCATCTGGGAAAAATCTCTGTCCAACATCGTGCCATCCATAACTTAAGTAACAATTGCAAAAAAAATAAATAACATTTGAAGAAATAACGCTCAGAATCTTCTGCAGAACAAACTACATGTATGTAATAGTTTTTCGTCAATGCGAGAAGACAATACTATATATCTATTGTCTTTACCAGGTAATTGTATTTGTATTGTGCTATAATAAATGTTTCCAAAAAATAACTTGAATAAAAGAATTTTTTTAATGTTTACACCAAAGGTAACTTTTAATTTCTAATTGTTTCTAGTTGGTATTGCAGAGATCTCGATTATGAGAACCTCTTTGGAGCAGTATGTCACTTCAGCTAATGATGCAATTCATATCAAATTGGGTATGTATATATCAGTCTCCTTGCATGAAGGGTTGTATTTCTGACATTCTTTGATGGCCCATTGTACATGTAGTACTAAAAATACATTAAAATGAGTTGACCTCTACCTGGGGAGGGTGTGCTACAGACTCCATGGAAAGGCTAAATCCACTGGATGAGATTAGTCACAAACTTTAGAGAACTTAGGTTAATATCTGTAGGTGCTTGTGTTTGATTAGGCCTGGTTGACCTGCATATAGCGCATTAAATTACAATAATGCAATTATAATAGGAAG